CCCGGGGCTCTGGGTTCAAAACGCCTCCCAGCACAGCAGTGTTACAGGACCAAACCCGCCAAAAGTTAATAAACGTCTTTTAATCTACTGCTCAAGCAATTCCGTGGTATTTTAATGTGCTATCTGGAGCTTAATTATTGTCATATTAAAAAAAAAATAACCTAAAAGACAACCTTAGTAAGTAAGTTTGTGCTTAGTTTGTATGTACTTTGTATGTAGAGTATGATGAGTTACAATGAGTTACTCATCACTTACAATGATGAGTTTTCTAAAAAAATTGGAAAAATCAAAGTATGTATATTTCTTTYGAATGTCTTTAGTTTTACTGAAAAAAAAAAAGTTGAGACAGAACTCGATACAAATACTTCTTTAAAGAAATAAACGTTAATCCTCAGAGAGCATGAAAAGACTTGTCCTTTTCCTCCTGATGTAGGAGGGAAGGTTTGAAAAGAAAATACGCTGAGACAACCATTTGTTATATCTGGGTTGCATCTGTGCATTGCAGAAGTTTCATTAAGTGGTGTGGGGTTGCTTGGGGTTTTTTTTAACGATCCCAATGTGTGATTTCTAAGACTTGACTGGAATTGCAAAGAATGCCTGCAAAAATAGGCTGTATGCTAGTTAAATATGAGGGAAAACAAAATGAAACATTTGATCTGTAATTCTCTTTCTTAATGCTGCAGTCCAGGAGCTGCAACTGTTTCTGCCCAGGCAGATAAGGCCTAGTGATATGAAAGCACAMAATGTTYATTTTGTCAGTTCTGTAAAACAYAGGAAGAAATACAAGAAAATTCAGATGCTGAGAAAACTTGGAAAAGTGTCTCCCCCTGCAGCTAATAAGAGAGCAAATGTTGCTCCACAAATGATGAGAGCTATTAATTGCAAAATACTAGTCTGTACATAATGAYAGTATCAAATACAGTCATTTACCTGAAGATTTCTCAAATTGTCTTGCAGCAAAACTATATTAAGTGTTTAAAAAAAAATGACATTATTTTGAAACATATTAGAAGACTGACCAGGTACCAGACGAATTTGCTCCTGACTGGTTCTCTTTTGGCAGCAATTGTGTGTCTGGTGAAGAATCTTAGGCTGTGAGGCAAGAACTGAGCTCAGGTACCARACCTGTTGTGCCATGATGCTGAGATGATTTGCATCTCTGAGATCTCTTTCTGCATTAGAAATAAAATAAATAAAATCATTCTCTTTCATAAGTAAGGAGAGCCTCTGCATTTCTTGCAGCAGTAAGGAAGTTAACCCTACGTTGGAGCCTACTTAATGCCTGATTTATTGATTTATGTTGAGAAAGGAGGGGGGATGCCTGGAATTCTATAGCAAGCAYGAGAGTCCAGGAGTTAAAATTTAACTTTGATCTTTTAACTGAAAGTTAACAGAAGTTATTAATCRTCAGGAATTATGTGGGAGCTGTTGTGTTTCAGTGAACTTACTGGTAGATCTCATGTTGTACATCTCAGTTGTAGGTTTTACTGTGAGTACCACAGTCAAAATAGAATTTGATTAAATAACCAGATTTATAGAATTAGGAAACTTCATATTTATGTCTTGCTAGTACAGTGGGGCAGTGATGTTGTTGGAATGAATTTGAAGGGATGAATTTGTGGCATTTCTAGGGAAAAAATAGGTTTACATGTGATAAAAGGAATACATTTTCCAGTACCAAGTCACTGTATTTGATTAACTTTATTAGAATGTGTATTAATGTGGTTTTAAGGTTTTTTTTGACTGTGTGAATGAATAGGGTGTGTTTTTTTAATTCATGAATGACAGCTTCTCATATCAGTGGTAGTTAATAATGCATGTATTTTTGTTCCTAATTATCTGGTGGATTATGTGAGGAGCTCTTTTTGTTTCCTTGGCTTATGTATCACTAATTGTGTATAAGTCAAATCATCTTTGTGATCTCTTYTGTTAAAATTAGCAAAAGCAAATCTGATTGTGGACACTAAGCTTAATGGTGTCATGGGTAGAACGTGGTGATGATGGTAATGCATTACAGTGAAAATTGCTGTCCGTGCCCTCAGCTCACGGAACACAAATGTGTCTGAAATCAGTAGGGTGAAAAAGAAGGAAATGACACAAAAATATGTAGGCAGAAAAGGATAGAGGATTTAATAGGTGGTATGTGAGCAATGACTCAAGTAAATGGGTCTCACATCTGAGGAAATTTGTTACTTGAAATGAACTTCTAGCGTTCAAGTTTTAATTAATTTGACGAAATGAGAAAAGCTGTCAACGCAGTTGTGCAATATGAGATCCTCRACCCCCTCCACCACTGTGGTGCAGAGCAGGAGGAATGCAAGGAATTGGCAAGTTCTAAATTTGTTCAAAGAGCCACGGACAACAGCCAGAAACTTGTGAAGTTCCCGGTGGGGGAGGAGAAGGGAGCCTGTTGTGAACTGCACATTCCAGATGTCTTCAGCGGGCATTGCTGCTTGTAGGGAACCTTGGGAACAGTGCTTCAGTTCAGACAGCTCCCAAGACTTGTCTGGATTGTGTCAGAGACACTCTCGRCTTGGGAACTGCCCCATGTTAGAAGGCTCAAGGCTCATGTGTGCTTTTCCTGAGCTCYGAGCTCCTCTTTCACCTCCAAGGAAAGCATTCCTTCTTCATCTGGGTTTCTGACACAAACTTCCATGGAGCTGGTGACTAAAGCCTGTTGAGAATGCAGGTGCCATATATTGTAAAGTTAGCAATTGCAAAAACCCTGACTATTGGTCTGKAACTGAAGATAATGCTGCTGCTAAGTATTCATCATGTAGTTTGTAAGTCACATTTCTCATCAAGAGAAATCTTTGGAACTACTAGAAGTATTCAAAATACTGGGAAGTTACCATAGTGAAATCGCTATTGCAATGCAGGTTGCTAATTTTAAATTCCTTGTGTTTTTTTTGTTAGCATGACCAGATATTTCAGACCCTCTTTTAGGCATAGTGTTTGAAAAATAGACCTTGTTTTTAWCTTTACTAACAGGTATCTGCAATACTGAGCCGTATCTCACTGTATTAGGAGGTTTTTTCAGCTGAAGACGAGAGAAGCATTTTTCATTACTGTAGTTTTTAAAATGTTTTTTTGGCATATAATTGCAGGTTGAAAGAATACCATCAACARTCTGTAGCCTTGTAATCAGACAGCAGAAGTATTGAAAGTGCTTTAACACTAGGAAAGATGATGTAAGATCTTGTTTGTCAGATAACTCTGGATACCTGATTTCTCTCACAAACCTGCACTTGTTGCAAATGACATCAAAACAGTGAATATAACGTTTTCATATTACATGTCACACCTATATATCAAAATGTTTTTAYATAAACAGATCACATTTACTGCTTGGTCACATTACAAAATCTGCCTGTTGGTTTTCCATTGTTTTGCAGTCCTCCAACTCTCTGAAGGCATCGTACGAGGACTGGTTGGTGACGTACGGCTTGAGCGTCTCTCCCTTTCACCTGCGGTGGCAAACAGCTCTCTTCAACCGCCAGTTCTACAACTGGGGGAGATGGAAACCCAGATTTCTTTACTTATGGTAGAAATTGARTGTCTTTTTTCTTCTGTCAAATACAGAGTCAACAGCTGAACCACATTGGTTCCTTCAATCATTGGAAGGGCAGTGGATAGACATGGTTATTTTAATAGGCTAATGATAAAATCTGTTACAGTGGTTGATCTAATTGTACTGTGCCAGTATAAGTCTTTCTCCTCTGCTAAAAAATACATAGTTGTAATGCAGGTTGCATATTGAGATACTATAAAACCAGAAATCTTTAAACTATTTTTACCTGTGATTTGAACTATGCATAATTGTGAAAAGTACAGCTATTACATTCAATACTGCATACAGACATAGGTCTGAAAGCAGCTTCTTGGATCTTAGATCACTTCCAACATTGTACATTATCTCTCCCAATCACCAGTTTACAAAGTATTCAGAGTTAGTTGTGTCCCTGTAGTCATTGTCCAGACAGTCAGCAGCAATACCTGCTCAGAAGCACCTTGCTCACCTTCTGCCTTCTCTGCCTGCACCTTTCCCTGCTGAGATTGCACAGGGCTGGGAATGGGTAGATAARTAGGGTGGTTTAGTATGGATGCTCCTGGACTGGTTTTGAAAACTATTGCTCAGTTGCTCTCCTAGCATTACTTTGTGTCTGCTCTGAAAATGCAAAATAAGTAAGATTTTAATTTCTTTTCATTTCCTGTGTTGCTTCTGTTCATTGGGATAGTAATAAAAGAGAGGTCTGCTTCATATTGGTTTCTCTAGTATGTAATGATTTTGCAATAATCAGTCTGAAATAGTATATCAATTACAGTTTTTAATGTGTATAATTTATTACAGTATAATGTTTCCCCTTGTCTCTTTAATTAACATTACAAGTACATGTTGCTTAAAATAAATGTACTAATTCCCARTGAGCTCCATTAAGGCTGATAAAAGAGCAGCTACACTGTTGTGAGAGGAAGAAGAACTGGTAGTGAAGTGTTTTAGTTATTAAGAAAAGTTATCACATCCTTCAATTATAGGACAGTGTAAAATAAGAATAATAATGCTGAATAAAAATGTGTCACTAGGTGGAGTGACGTGAATTAAAATTATTTTCAACACTGATTTTAATGAAAAATAAATTGGTGAGAAGAACAATGTAGTTTAAATAATTAGTGCTAATGTGGTCTTGCAGTTGTACTTTTTATTTATTTAGAAAAGATTCAGTCTTATTGTTCTTTAGCACTTTTTATTRTTTGTGAGAAAGATGCAAAATGTATTAAAGAAGCTTTTATATATATAAGTACATAAGATGCCCCATCATTTGATCCAGGTCTCTGGATTTGTAATGGTGTGGTGCAACATGGTCATTTATGCATTGTTAGTTATGTTTCTATATTCATAGCTGCAGACAAGTTACACGTATTGGGTAACTGAATAAAAGTATTTRAAAATTGATCAGGGTGTGGTTTGGAAGTGAAACATTTATTAAACATGGGGAACATATGTTATTAGTATTATTACTGTATATTATTGTTATTAATTTCCTTTAGCTAATATTTTGTACTGGGTTGTTGATGCATGAGTTGTAATAGCATAAGTTTTGCCCTGTGTTTTGTGTGCTAAGTTGTGCTATAAATTTATACATCCACGGATTATTGTGGCTGTTCACTGTTGAAATGTTTGCTTCTCTGTGTAGGTTCAGCATAGGAATGGTGTTTGGAATAGTTGCCATGTTTGGCTCTGTCATTCTGCTTGGAAAGACCCTGCTGCAAACACTGACCCAGATGCTCACTGAGGCTCCAAAGGCCCAGAACGATCGTATGCTGCAGGTTGTGGTGAGTCTTCTCTCCCCAGGTCTTTGTTTGAGAGCTGCATACAGATGTAAAGTGGCTTCTTAATGGGGTGTGTGGTGTWTAAATATTCCCATGTAAGAATAACCCATATCCTGATGTTCATCTACATGACAATGTGCTGTCTGTTATCAGCCTTAAAAATGGGGAMTGGGTATAGTAAAAGGGCAAATGAAGGCAAACATGTGAAAGAGTTTATATTAAAAATTTTCAGKAGTGGGAATTGGATAGTAATTTTGAAAAGCCCTAAATTAGAGTAMTAAGAATATAAAACTGAGTTAATTCACTTCCTGTGAGCTGTGCAGTATAGGGGCTCTGGTAGCACTGAAGTCGGTGGAGCACATCCATAATTGACAAAAAGAGACAAGTTCTGTTTCTTTTAATACAATACAAAATGGCAGTGGAAARGGAGAGAAGGGCAAAAAGCTTTGTGTGATAGTAGAAGCAAAGATTCAATAGTGAGAAGGTATTTTTTTGTTTCTTCAAGGACTTATGATACAATTTTCAGTGTGAAATTTCAAGTCCTGTTTCTGGCATCTAGTATCTATTTAAAGTCTAATAAAATGTATTTAATTGTTTTATGGATTTCTGGTGCTGGACAATATATTGTATGGTTTTAGAATGGAATGTATTTCACAGGGTGGGAGAGATTGCAGTACTGTAAATAAAGAAAGCCTCTCTTACATCTTCATTTTCTGAKATCATTATATGGATCCATCCACTTCTGTGACACCAGAGTAAAGTGGTCATTAGCAATATATTGCTCTTTGGAGAAAATAACTTAGAGACAACCAGAGTAAAGATGAGCCTTTGGAATTAACCTGATGTGAATTGGAACAATGAAAGCAGAAAAGTAGGATAATGTTCACAGTTTCAATGTGGACTTGTTTCCTCAGTAACTGCCTGCTGGCASTATCACTGCATTCAAACCAAGGATTGACTGGCACTGAAAACAATTTAATATATAGGGAAAATTTAATGTCATGTGTGGGAATAAGGTTGCTTCTCCTAGGTTTGGTTATGCTTCTCTTCCTTTCTCATCTCATTCTTTCATTTCTGAATGGTCGCAGTTGTTAATTCTGCCTTTAACAAGTTTCAGTATTCTGTTGAAGGGGAATGTGCTAGTGTAAATTGACACAAAAGAGAAACTCAGTTGCAAAGAGGCAAAGAATGACTTAGGAAGACCTTCTCATTTAAGATAKTTACTTATATTTGATTGCCTGGAAGAGAGCGAGTTAGTGTAAAAAAAAACACACAACAAAAAAATACTTCTTAAACCTAATTTTAGGCGGTGGCATAAACCTGTTTAGCCTCTGTCTGTGGAGAAAGGGAATAACAGTTCTGCTTATATTGTATTAAGATTTTTGTATATTTCCTTTTACTTTATTTAAAGTATCTATAGGCAGCTGGGCTGTTTTTCTTCAGCTGCCCCCTCTTGTGTTGGTTGCCTRCTGATGAAAGTAGGAAAGATGCAGATTAGTTATTAGCAAAGGATTTTCTTTTATGAAAGACATTCTCAGAAGACCATTAAATGCAAGGTAATATGCTTTTTAACAGAATTGGTTTGTTTATTGGTCTGCTATTGATTTCAGAACCCTTCATGAGAGGTAACTTCKGTTTTAGGTGAATCTTAAAATATCTTCTTTGATGTAAAGTCWGAAAGCATCTGGTGCTGTGTTCTAGCAGTCTGTAGCCCTGGTGGTATTGAGATGGCAACTCTTGCTGCTGCCATCTGTCCTCCCATTGCACAGGAAGTGATGCATTAGTGCCACCAGCTGATGCTGGTACAAGCAATGATGTTTAACACAATGATGTTTAACACATGAAGTGTAGCTTTCATACTGTGAGGTGCCACAGTCGAGCCAAAATCRTTTGTCTTAAGATAAATACCTTGGTTGTGATCATACTCTGGACAAAATTTGTGAGGTGATTAACATTAATGAACCCACTTCAAGGATTTCTTTTATCTAGATTGTCTCAACAACCTCTTTCAGAGTTCTCCTTCATGGGTAGGTAAATGCATATGAGTGAAGAATGTGCAGGACTGAACAAAGGTAGAATCCAGCCTGCCTGGTTGCTTGTGCAGCCTTTTGGTTTCCATAAGGGTGCTTTTTATAGAGTAGTATATGAAGGAAATGTTAATAGCTTGTATGGGAATAAAATGCTATGTTTTTGGCTGTCTTGAGAAAAAGAAGATTGGAATGTAGACTTGATAATGCAGGTGGTTTATAATTATAAACATTACTAATATTGTAGCTTTTGCAAATTTACTAATTTTATGTTGTTGAGTAGAAAGTGACAGCCTCACTGACCAATGTATGTTTGACACAAATGTATGCACTATATGCTAAAGTAGATAAAAGAGGCTTGTCCCACAATAAAGTCCTTCTTTCTTTCTGTTTTTTCACTCACTTTTGTGTGTTTTGTATCTATTCTTTTATGTTGGCTGTCTGGCCAACAGCRACAAGTATAGACAGGCCAGGRGTTTTTGCCCATAGCATCTCTTTCRTGAGACTKGATTGCAATTCARGTTGTTTTCACAYCASTTGTTAGTGRCCATACTGGAGTGCAACCTGCCTCAAATGGAAAAAGCTGTAGATCTGACAGSAGAAATGCCCCAGAGCAAGCAGCAGAAGTGGCCTTATGATCCCTCTGCAGCCCTGCAGCTGATTGGGGATGGAACTGAGCWGGATGAAGGTCCATCAGGAGGAAGGAGGGGATGGTTTCTCATGCTTTGACTAGTGACCACTTTGAAGCCTCTCTGGAAGCAATTGGTGTCCCATGACCAGCACAGTGAAGGACCTGGGAGTGGTGGGAATCCACAGCAACAGGAAGAATATGAAGGGCCTGCATATTACGTCTTAAGTAGATTAAAATATTATACTCATTTTAAGGTGGGTTTTTTTAAGGTTAGATTGCCATATGTAGACTACAAAAACTGGAACAGTAGATGAAAATTACCTTTTTTTATTTTTGACTCTGTAAACTGGGATAATTTTGTGATCTGTTTAGGGAGAAAGAAGGGAGACTGTTCATTCAGGTGTCAACTCATTTTTTAACTTTGCATGTTCATACTGTTTTAAGTGTCATACAATTTTTATTATTTTCTTTTGAAAGGTAGATCTTTGCTATAGCTGTATGACTGGCTGTGGGAAATTGCAGATTAATGTTCACAGTGCCAAGCCTGTTTCATTTGAGTGGAAGTCTGTGTAYATTTTTATATAGTTCTCCAGCTTTATATAGAGTGGGACTCATTTGGTCAGAGCTGTGGGGAATAAATAGGGCAGGGAGAAGGCTTTTGTGCCCGGAGAGCTATTTAACATTTAAAAAAGAATATATATATATTTAATATATTTTAAAATATGCATAAGTTGGTAAAAGAGGTACAAACTGACAGTACTGCATGAGAACAGACCTTGTTCTGCAGCGGGTCTGAAGAAGCTGAATGAAAGCAGCAAATTTAGGAGCAGAATGATTAATCTTCGTACCTCTTGTTTTCCTCCCGTGTTTTRTTTTGTTGTCATGCCCACATCAACAGGTGCCTGGTGTCAATTTGCCCGTCAGCCAGCTGACCTATTTCTTCTCTGCAATCCTCATCAGCGGTGTGATACATGAAGTCGGCCATGGGGTGGCAGCTATTCGGTAATACATTGTTTTTCTCCTACTCTAACAACAAAGCCAAATACTCCAGAGCWGTTACTTACCCGTGAATGTTGTTAGCACTGCTTTGTTTTATTTAGAGAGTCTGTTTAGTCTGTAATTCACAGCTTCCTTAGAGTTGAAATCTGGAAGAGTGTACAATTAAGGAGAGAGGTATAACACAGTGTTTATTGTATAGATCATGAGAAAGGACTTTTGCTTTGCAAATATAGCATCAGATTTTAAATRATATTTTTTTTAAGTGACCCTGTTTTTTACACAGCAGTCTTCATTTCTGTGCCTGTGGCACTTGGAAAGAACTCATGTGCTATTGCACAATGATACTTGAAAACAGGTTTTTAATTGATTTATTTATACATAGCTTGTGAAAAAGCATAGGAACAGATTGAAGCAATAGCTTGGTCAAATGTAATTTGCCCCATTARCCTCAGTGATGTATTAGTTTTGGTCAAAGGTTATAATTTTTACGTCCTTAACTATGATGATTACTTTGCAAAAGTGATTTGACAAGGTTAGTCATTACAGTTAAACACCACTTTAGGATAAGAAGGTTGAGCAGTGATTACTGGGACTGAGGTTCTGATGTCCTTCACATTCCTCCTGGACAGCACAGGAGTGTGAAGCCTTAAGTGGTTTTTCAGATTTTCTTGTAGGGAGTCATGACTGCATTTTAACCCATAAACTACCTTTTTTATAACCCCAGAAGTTCTCAGTCAAAGGGATGGTTTGTGACCCTCTGTGTTTCATTTGCTTTAGTTGTCTTTCAGCTTTTTTCCCTCCAATTTTCACAGGGAATTTTCCTGTGGAGGGTGAACCTCTTGCTTATCCCATCACAGAAAGAAGCAATAAAATTTTCTTTCCTTAACACATTGCTGGCAGACTGCAGAGAAGCTAGGAGTTACTACAGAGTTCTTTTTAAGCAGAAAGAAAAAAATAATTCTTGTGTCTTAGTGGTGTGATATCTTTATTTAAGATCTAGAACAAAGACTTTGAATATTCGATTTTGGGTCATGTTTTCTGTCAAAAAATTGTTTCCCAGGTATTTCCAGAGGAGAAAATAGTTTGTCCAATGTACATTGGCAGCCATTGTTGTTGCTGCTGTTTTTTGCTTAACTTTTTTCTTTTCCTCTTAGCACACRTTGGGTCTATAGTGCTGTTACAGTAAATCCTCATGGTTTCAACTTCACTAAAAAGCAGTGCTCTGGGCAAATTCTATTATTCTGGCAAATCACTTAGCCTTCCTGAAATCTAGTACACTTTGGCCAGCTTCAGTTCAAGAAAGCATTAGCTGTGAACCTCAAGAGCTTAAATATTTGAACCTTGGCTTAGTCAAGGCTTGTACCAAAAAAGTCTTTTTCTTCCCTCTATATTCTCTACCCATCATGAAATCAGGAATAGGCATTAAATTGGCTATTATTAATTGGTAGCATGGGATGAGTTAATGCCACAGTATTAGTGTATGACTTCATTCTGAATAATTTTGTATMATTTTTTGTCTTCTTTTGGTGTGTATACACATTGAATAGATAAATGTGAATAAATAAAATGTTAGACCCTGTATATTGTTTCAGTAAAGATGTGGGATTAGGTGATCTGTGCCTGATTTGTCTTGGAACATGATTGTGCCATGCCTCTCTAAGTCCCTTATGCAATTTCTAGCTTCAAAAAACCTTGATGTATTTGTTCCAAAAAATTAAAAGTATTTGTAAAAATATGTTTTAAAGTATTTGTAAAACCCCTGAAAAAATTATCTGTATACAGTGTCCGCTACTAATACATTCAAATAGAATCTTAGAGTGTTATGGTTAAGGTTTTAGGAGAAACAGAAGAATTAAAAATTCCGGAAGTCTGAAAGTGTTTCTTTAGAAGGAAAATGATTGCTTCTTGCAARTATTTTTATATAGAAGAATTTGAAGCTGCTTCCTACAGGCTGCATTTTTTTTTTTTTTTAATTTAAAAGAAAAATTACCCCAAATGTTAAAATATATCTTAACATGAAWGTTAGGTGGATTTTTAGAAAGTATTTTATGTGTTACTGTTACCAGGAGACAGAAAAGAAATTCAACTTAACCTTTATGTTTTTAGCAGACTTAAAAACATTTGCTGCTTAAAAGTGGCAGCTACTGCAGAAAACATCCTTTACTTTAATTACCTTTCAATTACTGGTACTGTAAAAAGTAAATTAGTTTTATACTTAAAATTTTAGTTATTCATGTTGTCAAAAAAATGCATTCTGTGTCGAATGTCTCAGTTTTTCTTTTGTTTGTAGTAATACCACTTSACTTTTCTTCTTTTTAAGAGAACAAGTACGATTTAATGGATTTGGGATTTTTATCTTCATTGTCTATCCCGGAGCATTTGTTGACCTCTTCACAACTCACTTGCAGCTGATATCTCCTGTCCAGCAGTTAAGGATATTTTGTGCAGGTTTGTCCTTTTTCATTTAATCTTTGCTTAGCACCATGAGTTATTCTAAGGCATCATTTGTGAATCTTTGAGTATTTAAGGTTTAGARTGACTAAGTATCAAAGCTTCTCTTTACCTATTGCTAATTTTTCAGTTCTGAACCTATGGTATTATCTCAGGAATCATTTGGTCATTATTTTCCCTATTGAGCTGCTTTCTGGGCTAGARATGTCAGTTTATAGGATCTTAAATRAGCACCAGTATCGTGTCATGAAACACATTACTATATTGATCTGATTCAGAATAGTTAGCATAAGAAATTCCAGTTGTGGGAAAAAAAGTAAAAAAAGTATGGTTTCTGATCTTCCTCTCATAAGGAAGAGCTTTTACAGCAGGTGCAGAAGTTCCTGTCTTTTCTGTGTGCTGTTAGGAATATTTCTGCATATTGTATGGCCTAACTAGCAAAACCTTGGAATACACAAGCTGTGAAATACTCAGCCAGAGTGGTGGTATGAGAACAGGACTTCCTGTCCTTGAGCAATTCACTACCATTTTCTGCAATAGGAACAATCAGTTTTTCAGTAGTATTAGAAGTGATTTTCACTGACCTGTGAGTTGTGTTATTATACAGGTCACTGTGTTTTGACATTGCCATCAGGAGGAAATAAAGGTTAAAACACAAACATCCAAAGGGAATCATAACTTATGGCTCCAGATAACCTCCAGATGTTTTTGCCTTGATGTTTTTGAAGTCTGGCTACAGGAAAGCWGAGCCTGGTTGCTGTGAGAAGTCAAACTGAGACTGTGTTGTTCTGCCTGAACACTTGTGTGATTATTTCTAGAGACAAAGGTGGTTCCCAAACAACTGAAATAAAGATAGAAAAGTTATATCTTGGTTTAGTTCTTGATACTGGTGTTTTTCTGTTGCAGGGCACAGTAGGCTAGCAGCCAGCCTGTTGTAATGTTTAGTTACTAACATTGTTTCTTGAATATTGTATTTAAAACGACATATGGAGGGTGGACATACAGAAGCCTTTAGCAAGCATTTTTCAAGCTTTCATAAATCAAGTAAATAATTACAATTGTTAGGTAAGTAAATATATCTGTATTCCAAACACCCTAATCAACAAAAATTGTTCACTACAATGGGCTAACTTATGAAACCCTGTTTCTCAAATTAATCTATTTTCATTTTCTGTGAACAGAACTGAAAGAAAAGGCATACTGAATTTYAAAATGGGTTGCTTACATAGATTCCTGAAACACTATCTAGAAAAATAAAATTCTGTGCTGTAATAGAAAATAGTTGCTTTCATGCTTTGATGACAAGCAAACACCTATAATAATTTTTCATGTTTCTTGAGAAACCTGAAATAGGGGAGTACAAGATAGGAGCAAAAACGTTGTAAGACTGGTCAACACAAATTACTTGTTCTCAGTCAGGTATAACAAATAAATGCATTTTTTTACAGTTTATGATAGTTGTGTTTCAGAACTAGAATGTTTGATAGTGATAAAATGCAATGTGCAGTAAAGAACCAGTTTGTTTTATTTGTCAGAGGAGTTGAATGAACCTGTGCCTGGTGSTCAGAATATTTGAATTTACAGAGACTTGCCCTCAGATTTTTGTATGGCAACTAAGTAACAGAGCTAGACTAGAGGCCAATACCAAATATTGTTTTTGTAGCCCAGCTATGCTCTGGAGTTTAAGAAATATATTTGTTGTACAGCAGATGGCATCATGAGTTCAAGAAAAGGAAATGAGTCTTCTTGTTAGACTTGTGCTATTTATAGCATAATTCCATGCCTGCTAGATAGGTGAAAAGTGATTCTGTGCTGCACTTTCTTGTAATTAGTTCCAATATTTGTATTACATTCTAGGATAATTTTTAATAAATTTCATTTTGTCTTTAACTAGGAATTAAATCTTTTGGGTATTTTTTAAATTAATTATTTCAATTAAATTATTTTAAGGTGTTTTAGGGCTGTGTAAAGTGTTCCTTTCTAAATGTAAGGAATTATGTCTCAAGGATGAGACAGTTTTAGCAAGATGAAGTTGAAGTTATACTGGGCAGTGTTYCTCTACAGGTATCTCATTTGGAGCGTGTTTATTTTTTTTGTGGATAACCTGGGATGAGTTTGAAACTTTTCTATTTTAGACTTTTTGCTGTATTCCACACAGAAAAATGGCTGTGTTTCCTTGGCTTGTATTTCCTAGATGTTAGAAAGTATTCATTGTCACTCTCTAGCAGTTCCATCACCTCTTTTTTTTATTACTATTATTTAAGAGTTGGGAGTTTTTTTTCCACTTACTCTCTGTAGCAGCCACATTGTTGAAAAGAWTTTTTTTTCCATTTTACATTTTTGTCTTTTGTTAAGATGTTAAGCTGAAAAAATATTTTTAAGCTAAAAAGGTTAAAACAATAAAGTTAAAATATTTGCTCATTACTTTTGGATTTGTTGCACATAAATGTGTGTGTGTGAGATAAGAAGTGATTACAAAATCATTTCCTGTATCTGAAGGATATGCCTTTCCATGAGATAYGATTAAAACTATATAAAGAAATTTCTTTAAGAAGCATATATTAGTGGAAATGGCAACAAACCCTTACTTCAAGAATTCCAAAAATGTCTCTCATTTCTGCAGCATTTGAAGTGTAAAAGAAGACCAGGTGAGATGTAGAGATAGACAGGGGAGATAAGAGCCTGCCATATGGTRTGATTTCAGTGTTATATTCACTGCAAGAAAGATAGGTTTGATATATTTTAAAATATATTTACTTCAACTCCTGTTCTGTAACTGCACTGTAAGTACAGAATTGAATCAAACTCCTCATAAAAAGGTGAAGCACTGTTAGAAGAAAATAGTCTTCAACATTGAGAATTTTTTCTGCTTTGTTAATATGAAACTGTTTGTTTCATACATACACAAATTAACTCATTTAGTTTATTGCTGAAGGTGGAAAGCCATAAAGCTTTGATGATGAAAGCCAACTGTGTCTTATGATAGTGGCTCATTTCTTCCTATGGACAACCACATACTATAAAGATGGCAATTGCAAATATGTTCCCCAAAATAATGTGTCAGGAAATGCTGATTGCACAATTTAGTTTCTTGATGTTATTTTAGGTCCATATTTTCTTGTAGAACAAGCCTTTTTTAAAAATAATTTTCTGAATTTGTTTGGCACMTATACATGTAATTATTTTAATTTAAATAGTGTAGATTACCATCACAAATACTGAATTGCACCTAAATTTTAGACACCTTGTCTCCAGGACATACAGTATTTATTCAAAAATAAGCTAATTTATTGAGGTTCTTAAATTCAGCTTTTTATTGTGGTAGAAGGTAACATGTAATACATTTCATTCCACTATTTTTTTTTTTATTTATGGTTGAAGGCAACTCTGTAGATAGAAACTGTATTTCAATAATTAATTCAGAAGCCCAGTTTTAATTCTGGGTATGCTGTCCTTAGAAAAGTAGKGGTACATGGAATCTCAGTCTGGTAGGATGACACCTTAGAAATGAACTCACTGCTCCCCTGTCTTTTTTGATAGTATTTAAAATTCTCAGAGACTTAGAGGTTTTTCTAAAACTCCCTTACAAAATGGCATCATAGAAGCTAAAGTTTGTAAAGTAATCTATGTGCTCTTCTTTTATGCCTATGTTCACAAATTAACTTTTCCATTCATTCTTACAGTAATAATTTCAGGAAAGTTAATTAGAAGGCAGCTGTAAATTTTGATCATTTCAAAAGCAGCTTTTTGTTATTAGTGTTTATTTAGAAACTTTTTCTTTTGCCTTTTTTTTTTTTAGGGGTGTGGCATAATTTTGTTCTTGGCGTTGCAAGTTTCATGGTTTTGTTTTTGCTGCCAGCCATTCTTTTCCCCTTCTATTACACGGGTGTTGGGGCACTTGTCACTGAGGTTACAGAGGTAAGAAAGATATTTGCTGTTTCCATATTACATGCTTTGTAACCTGTAATGTACCTTTATCTGTTATTATCACWATCAGATTTGGTCAGTGCAGCATTTTGCAAAATCTGATATATTGAACTTCTTCCTTAAAAATTTTYTTCTWGGTCTTATGTGTTTTAGCATTAGTWAATAAAGGAACATGGTGTGAATACTGATAGACTAATCAGCATACTATAAAACTGTTGAGACATTTAAGATGAGTTTGCAGGTTTGTTTCTGGGAGTTTTTAACTTTTTCAGTATTGGCACAAAACAAATCTACTGTAAACTGCATTATCACTCAAGTTACTGCTATCTGTTTTTAATGTTAAAGATTATTTTCAGCTGATTTCCTTGTTTGGTCAGCTGGAAGCAAAGTAGAGATAGACTTCTGGGATTCTGGAAAAGACTATTTTTTTCTGACTTAATCAAATACAGCACAGTTGAACAGCAGAGCTGAAAGGATCCTGTGTTTCTTGAATCTGAAAGTCAACTGATAAAACTCAGGAGAGAGTGACCTTTATTGTGTTTTATTRCCTTTGAAAGTATAGCTACACTTGCTTTCTTGAAAAGTTCAGAGTATTCAGTTGCTTAACTTAGTATGTTGTGGGTTTTCTTGCCATTTTAACTGAATGAAAATAGTTACTCAAATTTGAAGATGTCTCCAGGACACTTGGAGACTCCCCCTTTTCTCCCCCCTTTTCTCCCCCCTTTTCTCCCCCCTTTTCTCCCCCCTTTTCTCCCCCCTTTTCTCCCCCCTTTTCTCCCCCCGTTTTAATGTCTTAACCTAAAGATTTGATGTTATTCAGTAGAATGGTAAAGTAATCCTTGAAGTTTTAACCATAGTAATATGACTGATTTCTCTGTTCTCAGGATTCTCCTGCCAATGGACCGAGAGGTCTTTTTGTGGGAGACCTTGTCACAAACCTACAAGACTGCCCAGTTTATAATGTGGAAGACTGGAATTCCTGTCTGGGAGACATTTCAGAGAAATCMCAGGTCGGCTACTGTGTAAGTGCAGCCACCCTACAGCAATTAAGCTTTCCAGCTAGAGGTATGACTTAAGGTGCTCTCCTCATTATTTTATTTATAAATTAATTTGTATTTTATCATGTCTTAAAGGCTGTTTTGAATTTAGAATTTGTTGTTGGGGTCAGATTTCTCATAAGTCAAGTCTGCTGTCCTCTCTTAAGCAGTTGCCARTGTTCCATGCTGCTTTGTGAAATATGAAAGTGAGAAATGGGTAGATAGAGGARTTTCTCTTGTCTTTCAATTATCCTGTGTAAATATCCTGTATRATCTGAATAATAAAATTTGCTTCTTCAGGATATTGCAGAGCTTGCTTGTTAGCAGTAATACAATTATCTCCTCTATTTTAAGTTCTGTTAAATGGATCAACTCAGTGATCTTTTGCAGATGTAAATTCCACACGGTACCTCACAGCTTTGATCAACGTGACATTGCAAAYTGTATTGTTTAACCCAATGATGTGCTTTATTATGGTCACTTTTTCTGATGTGTCTAACCCTAAGGTTTTATGTCATTGCCCATAAACTCAGTTTTGTCTGGATTGCACATACTGCTTCTGAAAGTCAGTCCATTTCCTTCTGTTTCCATTTATACATTAGAGTGCTTGTTGCTGTAAGGGCTTACCCCCAAAAAAAAAAAAAAAAAAAAGTGAACTGAACTAAACTAGAACAATAAATAAAAATTGAGTAGAACAAAAAAGACCAGTCAAGTTAAATTGGCTGAGTGTCTTGTGACATGCCCTGAAGGTCTCTAAAGTTTCTTTCGTGCAAGCATTCATGGAAACTGAAYTCCAAAGGTAAGGGGCTGCTGCTGTGCAAAACCTATGTGATGCTATTCAGAGCTGTAAAATTGTCACTGCATTTTTCCATCATACTGGAAATAAGCAGGAGGTCAGGCAACTTGRCTGCCTGTGGTTTTGATGTACTGTAGTACTATTGTGATGCTGAAAAAGTAATTTTTTTAGTTTAGCATGTAAGAAACATAATATTACAGCTCATATTAAGATAAATATTTAAACTGGAAACTAGTGGAGTATGGTAAGAATCTGCTTTTAGGCAGTTTGGATTATGCCTCTGAAGAGGAGGGCAACTTTGGCACGTGCTTTCAGCTGGTCAGGGATGGTAAGAACCAATTCTCAGATGCTGTAGCTATATATATCATCAGATTCTGCTGTTCTCTGAAGTGCAATTTCAGAGTCATGGGTAATAAAACTGCATATTCTGCAGATGAACCAGTCCTATTTAGATTGAAATACTAGAGGCTTAATACTGCAGACTCAATATTGCTTCCAAGCCTGGTTGCTGTATTGTGTTAGCAGCCCATTGTCCCCACTGCTGTCTTCTAATCAGACCAGTCTGTCTGCATTTTCGAAKTCATAAGCCTCCAGCAGTGAGAAATATTCCTCTGAAATTAAATGAGTTCTGTTTGGTCTCCAGCAGCTATCATTTTTCAAAATCTTGACAGTTCACAAGTTGACATAAATACAGAGTATTGATAAAACTGTATATAGCAAATGGGCCCTATCTACTTGACCATAAAACAAATGGAGAGTGAACTATCTGAATATGAAGCTAAACTAAAAACAGTGCCCTAAGGACCTTCTTGAAATTTTTTAAAAAAAGTATTTTCAGTGTAGTTTATAAGGAAACTAATTTCATGGTCATTCACTATTCAAAAATATACATGGTTTCCTAGCCTGAGGGTACTTTTGAAAAAGGTTTGTATGGTACAGTGCTTGCACCTGTGAGCCACAGGCATAAAGCTCCATGTCAGTGAACTGCAAGTTATGCAGTGATAAATCAGCAACCAGTATCACAGGCTTGATCTGCCTAAGGAAGGTACTGCAGCTGCTGGGGTACAGATCCTTACAGTGATCATTCTTTTGTGTGTGTGTTGGACAGTGAGTTAGGCTGGATTCATTTAAAAAGCAGGTGTACAAAGGTTATGGACCAGACTAGTTAAATCACAGCTTAAATCATAATTTAGTCAGTGCTGCAGCCTTCTAGGCTTGGAAAGCTTTCAGAATCTGAGTCTTGTAAAGGCTTTCATGATTTAAAAAGTATGTTTTGAGTCTTGGTTATTTCCATAGCAGGCAGTGAAATCAGTACAGTAGTAGCTAACCAATTTTTATGCCAAACATCAGTGCAAGTCAAAGGCAATGGATATAAAAGTGTTTTGCAACTCATGAGGCTCAAAATGTTGCAGTGGTAGATCCCCAGTATTTCAAAGAGGTTTATTAAAATGAAAAAATCAGTATGTGACACAACTGAAATCATGTGACATTCACACATATTGGTGGTGAAGCTTAAAGTTGTGACTGAACCCCAGCTAGGCTGTGTGAATTATTGTAATTCTTGAAGACAACAGGATGGTTGTTCATTCAGAGACTAATTTTTTTCTGGAAGTTACTGTAATATTAACTATTTGCTCTATGTCTATGTTCTTTAGTCTACAGAAGACTTGATGGCACAGTTGAATGTTGTAGTAACAACAGCCTCACAGATATTTGCTTTTCATATAGCAATAAGTTGGACAACCATCTGGTAAGTTATGTAAACTGCTGATTCTCTTTGGTAAATATAATTTTTTTAAAATTAAATTAGTAATATTTAACAATATTTATGCAGCACACTCAAGTGTTTAAAAGTATCTACAGTTTGTGATAAAGATGCACATGTACACTATACTCCAAATTACAGCTTAAAAACCACAAAATATTAGTTGTGATTTTTCCCATAATCAAGCAGGGAGTTTCTGGAARCATCATAAAAAAATCTTAGATCCCTTCATTCCTTTAGGCAGAAATACAACTCAGTCATTTCCTGGATGCACCAGTATTCTGGATGCACAATAATGGTTAGAAAAATCAACTTCTGAGAAGAAGGTGAAATTGCTTATTTTGSTGCTTCAGTCTTTAAAAGTATTGAGCACTACAGAGAAACCAAAACTCTGGATTATCTGTTCASTTATTTTTTTCTGAAACCAGCAGTGCTGCTCCGTAAGTTAAACTAAAAACATGCAGGAGAAGGTCCTAGAGATTACCCAGTTTCTCAAAATGAGGTCYCATACTTCATTCTTTTGTCACTATGTTGATTTTCTTGTCATKTGAAAACCTAAAGTTTCTCAATAGGGTTTTGACTTATTCCCTTATGAAAGGGTGTAGCAGCATTCCAGTGCTTAAAGAAGCTACAAGAGAGCTGGACAGAGGTTTTTCACAGGGGTCTGTAGTGATGGAATATTTCTGTTGGTTCTCTTTACAAGCAAAAGAGTACAAGAATCAGCTACACAGAGTTTGTTTTTGTTCTGACATCTAGTGATAAATACTGAAGAAATTCAAATAAATTTGTTCCGAATCAGCTATGTTTACAATTTCTACAGTGGTAAACTTCCCACTCCAGGGTGTTTTTGTGGTATTTAACCACTGAGAATTGAACACATTCCAGCAGTTCATTTGAAATATGGCCGTGGGAGCAAGATTTGATAAATCACTATCCCATTGAGCCTTGGCATTCTTAAACTTGTAGCTTGGGCTTGCAAGCAGAAACGAAGTAAAAGCATCCAGAAGACCAAGATCTTGTGACTTTCAAGTGTCCTTAGACTGGCTGTGAGTTTTTGAAAAATTATTTTAGATGGTCTTTGCAGTGCTATGCAGCAGTGTTTGGAAGTGTGTCCTCTTCCTCTCACTGGAATAGAAGGAGGTTGTGTTGAGGTTAATGGTGAGGGTCTGACATTCATGCATTTATGGGTAGTGCAATGATCAGGCTAAGAAAGTAGAAATTACTTTTTTTTTCCCTCCTAAGGCAAAAGAGTAGATTAGGATTCATTGCTTTTATTTCTAGAACAAAAGAAAAAGTGTCACTGAGCTTTTATGAGGGACATGAAGGGGAAAACTAATTTCCTGTTCCCTTCTGTACTGTCTATGGCCTGTGGGGAATGAGAAGATCTGGTCTGTCAGACTGCAGAGTGAGAGTTTATAGGTAGGGSTTGGGCACAGCATTTACACTGAGTTCTGTGTTCATCTTAGTTAAGAACAGTTTCTTAGCTACCACACACCTGGTAGGTTTGTTTGTTTGTTTGGTGGRMRRARSYTTTRTTCAGTCAAATGAGGTTTTAGATCAATGAAGACTAAAACTTCAGCTTGAACAGGTCAGTCACTAAGATGTTGATATTTGGTGCATGTGTCTACCTTTCTAGAAAAAGTTTGCTTTTATTTTGGTATATGTGCACACCTTCTCTTCCACACTACAAAATGTGGAATGACAGGTTGAATATGTGTCAGGTACAGGTTATTCAGGATTTGACAGCAAAAAAACTAGGGAAAAAAATCAGATTTTAACTCTTCATGAGCTTATATCAGTGAGGCATTTCTTTGCTTTAAAATTGGTTCCTTTTATTTTGATTTGTTRGAAAATGCCTTTACCTTTCATAATAATTTCAAACATCCTTTTCAGTATGCCTGTCTGCCAGCACGAAAAATTATCGAAGCCAGCAAAGTTTGTCGATCCAACATGGACTGCCATAAAGACTTTGTTCCAAGCTTTTGTGTGACTCCTTCTTTGGAGAACCAGACAAGGCTAATCAGGGTAAAACATCCACCCCATATGGACATGCTATATGTAGGACACCCCATGCATCTTCAGTACACAGGTTGGTATTATTTATTGAAAGTTTAGCAAAAATAATCTCTTAACATGGTTTCCTTTGCCTGGCTGCTTAAACAAGGTCTTGGAGTGCTTCTTAGTTAATTTGTTTAATGCAGAATCCATTTCTTGTTACAGCCAGTGGAGAGACATGGACTACTCAGGCCTAAAATGAAATGTGCWCAGTGCAATGAGTTATGAAGGTAATAGAAACCATATGTGATATGAAGTGGTTGTTTTTTTCAGAAAAGTATGAAAGGGCTATTTCTAGAACAGATCTTATTCATTTAGCCAAAGGAACCAGGTATCTGCATTTTCCTGGCACTTAAATGTCTCAAAATGCTATTGTAAAATCTGGGAATATTAGCATGACTGCTTAAATCACACCTAATAGCCAAGTATTTGTGACAGATTGGAATATTAGCATGACTGCTTAAATCACACCTAATACCCAAGTATTTGTGACAGATTCCTGTGACTACTGAGCCACAAGTATTATCACAACATAGTTTTTTCCTGTTTTATTTTTTCATTTGACTGCCTGAAATTAAACAGCATTAGTTCCTTACTTTAAAGTTTACTGTGGCTCACCTTTGGGCAGTCTTATATAAATAAAAAGTAATTATGCTCCAGAAGTGAGTATGGAAAGAATGAACAAACTCATCAACATCCTACTTGGTAGCTTGAGTGGCATGGTGAAAATTACCTTCAGATGGGCTTTAAGAAGTTTGAAGTGTTAAATTACTGTCCCTTCCTGTGAGAAAAGTACTGTTCTTCACAGGCAGCTGAAACTCTCTGGGTGATTTTACCTCAAATAGCTTGGAAGTATTTCCTTAGCAAGACATGGTACTTTTCTGAATAARCCCTGGAATTCTAAAGGTCAAAAGACCTTTGGAAACAGTGATGAAATCTGATGGTGTAAATCCATTAACATTCTTGCATACCATATTTTTRGTTGATCTATCAGTCTTTATTTTTCCATCCTGATAATTTGATATTCTGTGAGCAGTTATTTATTTCAACTTTTTTTGCAGTATGCCTTTATTTAAGTCCAAAAGATGATCTCTTCACTTGTTACTTCTGGCTTCATGCCATTTAAGAGGAAAACATTGTTCACTTGTGTGTTATCAACACACAGTACTATATTTTATGACATTTGTTTCAAATGCAGCAATATATTTTAAGAATAGAATTCAGAATTCCTTTTCTTGGTTTTTGACAATACAAACTATTAGTACTGAAGAAAAATTGATGTTGTTCTCTCTTCCAATACACTGGAGAAATGGAGTTTTTGTTGKTTTTTTCACTGAATAGTAATTTTGCAAGAGAATTGAACCTACCAGTCTTTTAGAAATCAGAAAAGAATGTTATGGCATTTAAAGAGGTAGTTCTTCCTAAAGAAGTTACTTTGTGAAAATAGTGTTTGCATACATATGTAGGAGGAATATAATTGTAAAGCAATTTACTCTTACCCTCGAAATTGTGCACTGAATGTATTAATTTGAAAGCTAAARGCTTGATTTTGTTACCARCTTTGCTACAAATGCAATCTATGYTCTGTGTTCCCCTTGGAAAAACACMAATTTAATAATTATAATTATTAAAATTATCATTTTAATCCTAAAATTATAGGATCCTGGCTTGGGTAGCAGGCAGTCTGCTGTACCATCTTAGAGTTTCATGCATTCCAATGAAACTAAGTATTTTAGGCTTAGCTTTGCATTGTACAATACTGCCTGGGGCCAACAGGTTTAGTGTGGGCTATTTTTTTTTTTTTTTTCCCAATTTTTTTTTTTTTTTTTCCCAAATGACTGATCAGAATGTGGTAACTTTCCTTTCTACAGTTAAAAAAATAAAATAATTTCTTCTTCTACTCTGTGAGCTTTCAAATTGGAATACGTTTTAGTGAAATGCCTTGTCCTTTAGTGGGATCTTTCTACCTGCAGGAAACTTTACTTTTTAGAGTGGTGCTACTTTTTGTACACAATATGATATGGGAGTTGTAGTACTAGTGTGTACTATGACTTTACTTTCTCTAGAAATATTACTGAAGTAATGTTTGAATAACATTCTAAAATTATGTATATATTATTTTCTGCTTAGGTTTGTATTTTTGTCATGGTAGTCCTGATTTATGGAGAAACAGTAATTATTTCATATTTTCATTTGAAGATATCCTCCAGATAACATATTTTTTAAAACTTTATATCCATAGTAGCTACTTAGTCTCTACAGTTTATTTCTATTAAATATTTCTGCTACTTCAAATTGAAACATCCTAGCAGAAATATTTTTTGTTGTATGGAGGCTATACATAGCACTTGTTTCTGGTATTTAAAAAATAATACAACTGTAAGGAATTRTAATCCTAAATGAATTTACAGTGACAGAGATTTGGCCAAAACTAAAACAGAAGGATGATAAGGAGTGCATGGTCCTTGGGACAGATGCATTAATGCTTTTAATTAGCATTCTTTCTSCAAAAGGTGTCTCATTTTATCCAATAGAAAGTCATACTATCACTTTAATACAAATGGTATTAAGACTTTTAAACTTTTTTTATTGCAGGCCAGTTTTGCACTAAGGCTCTACCTATGTTGTACAGTTGATATGTAAGATGGAAATGGAGGGAYCTGTCAATACTGCCATGCAAATTTGCTGTGTTTCTTCTTTATTCTTTATGAGAAATTTTATTCCCTTGTGTCATTTCTAATACTGCAACATTTTTGCTTCCTTCTCTGGCCCTTCCTCGTTGGGAAGGATGTGGTGCCCAGGATTTGTATTGGAGGAGCATCATATCCCTGAATGTTACTCTTGCCCATCATAGATCAAAATCTGTAAGATTTCCTTCATGAAAAGAAGATGGAACTTACCTAGAAGATAATTTCCCCAAGCTGGACCAGTSTCCTACTTCTGTTGTATCCAAATCTTCTAAAAAAAAGGCATTTCTAGGCTTTGGCAAAGCTTGAGTAACAACAGCCATAATCCATGGTAGAGGTCTTTCTGGTACAGCCTGTTTTCTCAGTATTTCCATGCTTGTTTGCCCTTATTGCAGAGGATGGACCTTCTTTGCTTTTAACCCGTGTTTAAAGGATTATACATTTAGTTCTTCTGGAGACCACACAGAAATATCTCATGCCATGCTGTCTGCTGCCCTTTCCCCCATGAAGAAGTTTTGAAAAGCTCTTTGGTCAACCTAGTCTCCAAGTCACTCCTAATTAAAATTGTGTCTGTTGTGAATTCTTCTCAATATTTGCCAACACCATCTAGCATTAGCCAGCAAAAGAAATGTTATTTCCAGGTCAAAGAATTGTTTAATTAGAGTGGGAAAACAATGACTGTTTTCTCTCACCCAGGCTCATTGCTGTTCACCTCTTCCCAGCAGTGTCTTTGAAGACAAGCCTGGAGAACACAATTTCTTTAATTCTTTTGTTATTCTTCAGAGGACAAATTCGCTTACTGCCATTTGGTTTGGTCCATTACAATCACTAAATTGATTGCCTCATATTACAATCTTAGAGCTCAGACCAGCAATTTCCTGAAGAGTTTCTTTGTGTTTGGAGCTTACTTCCTGAGCAAGATTTGGAGTTTAGATCTGTGCCTAGTGGCTGTCAGTAATAACAGTTTATTGTAACAAAAAGAAGGAAGAGGATCAGTGATCCATTCTCAACATAGGCATAACTTCAGGTTCAGCAGCTGACTTGGTAGTGGCCATTAGGTGCTTGTCAAGAGGCAGTCCAGCTTTGAAACTACAGTGTATTACAGTGTGTGTCTCCTGAAACCTTTGAATACACTGCCTACCCCAGCCATTTTGCTGTTTTGGCTCATGAGCAAAAGTTTTGATCAGATGTTCTGATACCAGCCTTCGACTTGACAAGTTGTTTGCTGTGGATATCACTTGACCTGTGCATACATGCAAACTGGGTAATGCAAAGCTGGAGAGCAGCCCTGCAGAAAGGCWTCTGAGTGTCTTGGTAAGAGGCAAGTTGAACATGAGGCAGCAGTGCCCTGGCAGCCAGGAGGGCCACCCATGTCCTGGGGACATCAGGCACAGCATCTCCAGCTGGGTAAAGGAGGGGACTGTCCTGCTGTGTTCTGCACAGGAGCAGCCCTACCTCAAGTCCTGGGGACAGTTTTGGGCACCATGATATAAGAAAGATGTAAAGYCATTAGAGAGTGTCCAAAAGAAGGCCATGAGGATGGGGAAGGGTCTCCACAGGAAACCATTTGAGGAGTAGCTGAGATCACAYGGCTTCTTCAGCCTGGAGGAAAGCTCATTGTGATCTGCCTTACAGGGAGAAGTGGAGGGGCAGGCACTGATCTCTCTGGTGACCAGTGATAGGACCACAGGAAATCGCCTGAAACTGTGCTAGGGGAGGTTTAGGTCAGGTATCAGGCAAACAGGGTGGTCAGGGAGTGGACCAGGCTCCCCAGGGCCATGGTCATGGCACCATGCTTGAGAGAGTTCAAGCAGCATTTGGAMAATGCTCTCAGGCACRGGGTGTGACTCTTGGGGATGTCCTGTGCAGGGCCASGAGTTGGACTCAATGATCTTTGTGAGTCTCTTCCAACTCTGGATATTCTGATAGTTCACAGATACCTGTGTGAACACTGTCCCGTTTATTCAGACAAAAAGAGTTGATCCCTGAAGCTATTTCTGTCAGTCCAACCCCTACCCTGGCAGGCCCACCTTCGGTTTCATCTGAAGGGCTGGGCTAGCAGGTTTGGGGGTGGAGGGGGCTGCTTCTGTTGTGGCTGGGACTGGGCAATTTCCACAGCTGCTGAAGGACAATTTTCACAGCTGAGGAAAGGTTGGGGAAGAGGGACAGCTCAAGGATCAGATGTGTGAGTTTCCTGGAGCTACTGCAGTGTCAGGGGAGGTTCAGGCGTACTGTTCTGGCTCTCTGAGTTTGCGATCAGGCCGGTGCGTTCCTGCTGGTCTCCAGATAGACGCCTGTGGAGAGAGGAGGTGGCTGAGCTGCAGGTGACTTGGTAGTGGCCAGGAAC